GCAGGGAGAAAGCGGGAGAAAGGGGATGCGAGCGGGAGGGGCGGAAAGGGAGGCAGATGGACGTCAGCATGGACAGGGGAACGGGGGGGGGGCGACAGCAAGACGGGTGCCCCAAAATCTTGCGCGTCCCGTGAGTTTGTGTGTGCGCGGAGGGGGGGGGAGGGAGGAGGGGGAGGGCGAGATAAACAGAACACAAGAAGGGAGCTACTGACGCCGGGCATGCCCCTCTCACTCGGAATCCGTCGTGGAGTCGGTGTCCGAGTAGAAGGACGACGAGTAGAAGCCGGAGCCGGAACTGGAGGAGATGAAGGACGAGGTGAAGGACGACGACAGCAGATGATCGGACGACAGGGAAGAGACGGACATGACGGCCGCGTCGTTGTCGCCGGGGGGGGCAGCGGCAGCGGCAGCGGCCTCCTGCATCGGGTCGGCCGGACCCAGGCTCGGCGATCCGAGGATCGTAGCCTCAGGCACCGGTGGTGGCGGCGATGGCGATGGCGAAGGCACGGGCAGCGGCATGGCCGGACTGGCCGGGCTGGCCGGGCCGGTGGCAAGGGCCGGGCTCATGTCGATCAAGGGCTCGACCGACGCATGGGCCGCCGGAGGCTCGACAGCCACCGCATCCGGCACGGGCCCGTCGTCGTCGTCGTCGTCGGAGGGCCGACGATCGGGGCTCGCCCGGGGGCTGAAGGAGTGCACCGGCCCCGTGGCCGCCATCGGGGACACGGGCGATGTGGGGCTCATGTGCAGGAGCGAGGCCGGCAGGCTGGACACCTGCTGGGGCCCGAGCCCGCTGGCCATCGGCAGGCCGCCGGCCGGGACATCGCCCCCCTGGGCACCGAGCACACCGTGAGGCCCCCCACCGGCCTCGGGCTCCTCGTCCGGCAGGGTGGGCATGGCGGGCGAGGAGTTGATGATGACCGACTCGCCGGGCGGGCCGACCGCCTGGGTTAATACCGCGGCCAGACCGGCCTGCGGGCCGGCATCCGGCCCGGCTGCCAGGGCGTCGACCTGGCCACGCCGGCGGAAAGGCCGGCGCAAGATCCGCCGGTCGGACGAGGAGGAGATGCCACGGCTGCGCGACCGGCTGGCCGGCTGGGCATACAGCCGCACCAGGACCGATTGCGGGACCTCGGCGCCCTCGGGCGTGGAGAAGGCAAACGACGACATGGGGGCCTTCTCGCTGCCGGGCGCGCCGGCCGACGCATGCGGCGACACCGGCGCCGGGTCCTCGGCGCCGGGCTTGTCCAGCAGCAGGGCGTCGCTCGGCGAGCCATCCGCCCGGCTGCCTCCCAGGGGGACAACGAGTCGAAGGGGGCCATGCCACCGGACATGTCGGCTGACACATCGCCCAGCTCCATGTCCTCCGGCCCGGCCGGTCCGCCGGCGAAGTGCTCCTGCATGGCTTCCACACAGCGGGTGAAAGGACCGAACACCTTGCCGGCTCCATCGCGGATGACGCCCCACTGACGGGCCTGCAGCTTGACCCACTTGAGCTCGTTGAGGATCTGGATGTCCGACGGGAAGCGCTGAATGCCCCAGCTGCGGGGTGAGAAGGTCGGCCCCGGCGGGGGGGGGGGGGGGGGGCAGCGGTGCGAGAAGAAGGGTCCCGATGTGCGTTTGTGCGTTTGTTTGCTTGTTTGTCAGCACGCGGGCAGGGAAGGCCGAGATCCAGACACGACAACGTGCCCCCGAAGAAGAAGAAGAAGAAGAAGAAATACCACACGAAGGGCAGGCACGTACTACTTGACGGTGACCAGCAGCAGGGCCGCCGTGGTGGGGGCCGCCAAAAAGGCCACCCACGAGCGCGCGTCCGCTGTCAGCAGCTGCCGATAGATGCGATAATAGACATAGAAGTCCGAGGACAGGTTGAGCAGCTCGCCGGTGTAGAATTGCAGGAAGATGAAGACCGCCAGCGACCCGAGCAGCGACAGGACAATGATCAAGGTGATGCGCCTGAGGAGGCCGAGCAAGTGGGTGGACATCCGGGGGAGGGAGGGAGGAAGAGGAACGTGTCAGCCAGGGGGGGGGGGGGCCTCGAAGGGCAGCAGAAGCGGCAGAACGCAGGAAGAGCGCAGGGGAACGAAGGCCGGGCCCGGCAGGCGGCACAGGCTGCCCTGCTCGGGAGCGCGACGCACGTCATGTCAACAATCAACACCGCCGACACAGTGAGCATGACCAGCGTGTAGAGCGTCGCGCCGAAGCTCATCATGGACACATGCTGCGGCGAGGCGGCTGCCAGGGAAAACAGCATGAGCAGCCCGGCCACCATGGTGGCCATGAGAGACCGGATCCAGAAGACCCGCATGGAGAAGAGGGGCCGGATCTTCAGCGACCGATATGCCTCCGGGTGACTGAGGAGCTGGTTGGCCGACAGATGCCGGTCCAGCACGGCGGCCAACATGACCGGCAGACCGGTGAACACCGTGAAGAAGAAGATGTGAAGGAGGGCCTGGTACATGGTCTGCAGGGGTTGGAGGAAGCGAGTAAGTAGGGAGCGCGTGGGGGGGATATGTGCTCGGGCAGGCATGTGTCGCCCCCGCCCTGCCGCCGCCCGCCGCATGACGGCGCCCTGACAGGGTGTGGACAGGGGGGGGGGGCGCGAGGGGAAGGACCGCCGCGGCGCACCTGCATCGAAAGGGAATTGATGAACTGGAAGAAGAAGAGCAGCATGTTGAAAACCACCTGGATGAAGAACTGGTAAAGGATCAGCAGACTCTGCCGGTGGTAACTCCATGCGCCGTGGACCAGCAGCAGGCGCGTCAGGAAGCGGAACTGGCCGACGGCGTAATCCGCAGCGCGAACCGCCTGAGAGCCCTCCTCGCCGTGGACGCCCACGCCGATGGAGGCCGCCTGGATCATGGCCACGTCGTTGGCGCCGTCGCCGATGGCCAGCGTGTTGGAGGAAGACCGCTTGCGGACCAGCTGCACCATGTTGGCCTGGGAGCCGCGAGAAGAAGGACAGAGGGAAGGCGAGGGAGGGGGGAGGGAAAGGCGCATCAGAACCACCGGGAGCCGGGGAAAGGGGAGACGGAAAAAGACCGACCCCTCCCGAGAGGCAGAGCGGGCAGAGCGGGCATAGCGGGCAGAGCGGGCATAGCGGGCAGAGCGGGCAGAGCGGGAGACATGGAGGCACCGAGCAGGAGAGGCCCACGAAAGACGCACCTTCTGCATGGGAGACACACGGCAGCAGATGACGGTGCGGCACTGCAATGCCAAATCGAGGAAGCGCTGTCGATCGTGGCCAAGGGAGGACACATGGAGGGAGAGGGACCGAGGGAGAGAAAACAGCAAACAGAGCAAGAGACGGCCAGGAAGATGGACGGAAGCCAGGGAGCCAGGGGAGAAGGGGCGACGGGGGACACCGGGGGTCAGCCCACAGAAGGACGGAGCAAGAAGAGCAACAAGGGCGGAAGAGAGGGGGAGGGGGAAGCAGCACGCCGCCGCAGCGAGCGAGCAAGCGAGCAACGTCCACGTACATCGCGCAGGTCTTGCGCATCCTCCCGCATGATGTACAGCAGGGCCGACCCGTCGATGACCAGCGACCGGTTCGGGGTGTCGTAGGGGTTGGAGGAAGCGAGTAAGTAGGGAGCGCGTGGGGGGGATATGTGCTCGGGCAGGCATGTGTCGCCCCCGCCCTGCCGCCGCCCGCCGCATGACGGCGCCCTGACAGGGTGTGGACAGGGGGGGGGGGCGCGAGGGGAAGGACCGCCGCGGCGCACCTGCATCGAAAGGGAATTGATGAACTGGAAGAAGAAGAGCAGCATGTTGAAAACCACCTGGATGAAGAACTGGTAAAGGATCAGCAGACTCTGCCGGTGGTAACTCCATGCGCCGTGGACCAGCAGCAGGCGCGTCAGGAAGCGGAACTGGCCGACGGCGTAATCCGCAGCGCGAACCGCCTGAGAGCCCTCCTCGCCGTGGACGCCCACGCCGATGGAGGCCGCCTGGATCATGGCCACGTCGTTGGCGCCGTCGCCGATGGCCAGCGTGTTGGAGGAAGACCGCTTGCGGACCAGCTGCACCATGTTGGCCTGGGAGCCGCGAGAAGAAGGACAGAGGGAAGGCGAGGGAGGGGGGAGGGAAAGGCGCATCAGAACCACCGGGAGCCGGGGAAAGGGGAGACGGAAAAAGACCGACCCCTCCCGAGAGGCAGAGCGGGCAGAGCGGGCATAGCGGGCAGAGCGGGCAGAGCGGGAGACATGGAGGCACCGAGCAGGAGAGGCCCACGAAAGACGCACCTTCTGCATGGGAGACACACGGCAGCAGATGACGGTGCGGCACTGCAATGCCAAATCGAGGAAGCGCTGTCGATCGTGGCCAAGGGAGGACACATGGAGGGAGAGGGACCGAGGGAGAGAAAACAGCAAACAGAGCAAGAGACGGCGCGAGAAGAAGGGTCCCGATGTGCGTTTGTGCGTTTGTTTGCTTGTTTGTCAGCACGCGGGCAGGGAAGGCCGAGATCCAGACACGACAACGTGCCCCCGAAGAAGAAGAAGAAGAAGAAGAAATACCACACGAAGGGCAGGCACGTACTACTTGACGGTGACCAGCAGCAGGGCCGCCGTGGTGGGGGCCGCCAAAAAGGCCACCCACGAGCGCGCGTCCGCTGTCAGCAGCTGCCGATAGATGCGATAATAGACATAGAAGTCCGAGGACAGGTTGAGCAGCTCGCCGGTGTAGAATTGCAGGAAGATGAAGACCGCCAGCGACCCGAGCAGCGACAGGACAATGATCAAGGTGATGCGCCTGAGGAGGCCGAGCAAGTGGGTGGACATCCGGGGGAGGGAGGGAGGAAGAGGAACGTGTCAGCCAGGGGGGGGGGGGCCTCGAAGGGCAGCAGAAGCGGCAGAACGCAGGAAGAGCGCAGGGGAACGAAGGCCGGGCCCGGCAGGCGGCACAGGCTGCCCTGCTCGGGAGCGCGACGCACGTCATGTCAACAATCAACACCGCCGACACAGTGAGCATGACCAGCGTGTAGAGCGTCGCGCCGAAGCTCATCATGGACACATGCTGCGGCGAGGCGGCTGCCAGGGAAAACAGCATGAGCAGCCCGGCCACCATGGTGGCCATGAGAGACCGGATCCAGAAGACCCGCATGGAGAAGAGGGGCCGGATCTTCAGCGACCGATATGCCTCCGGGTGACTGAGGAGCTGGTTGGCCGACAGATGCCGGTCCAGCACGGCGGCCAACATGACCGGCAGACCGGTGAACACCGTGAAGAAGAAGATGTGAAGGAGGGCCTGGTACATGGTCTGCAGGGGTTGGAGGAAGCGAGTAAGTAGGGAGCGCGTGGGGGGGATATGTGCTCGGGCAGGCATGTGTCGCCCCCGCCCTGCCGCCGCCCGCCGCATGACGGCGCCCTGACAGGGTGTGGACAGGGGGGGGGGGCGCGAGGGGAAGGACCGCCGCGGCGCACCTGCATCGAAAGGGAATTGATGAACTGGAAGAAGAAGAGCAGCATGTTGAAAACCACCTGGATGAAGAACTGGTAAAGGATCAGCAGACTCTGCCGGTGGTAACTCCATGCGCCGTGGACCAGCAGCAGGCGCGTCAGGAAGCGGAACTGGCCGACGGCGTAATCCGCAGCGCGAACCGCCTGAGAGCCCTCCTCGCCGTGGACGCCCACGCCGATGGAGGCCGCCTGGATCATGGCCACGTCGTTGGCGCCGTCGCCGATGGCCAGCGTGTTGGAGGAAGACCGCTTGCGGACCAGCTGCACCATGTTGGCCTGGGAGCCGCGAGAAGAAGGACAGAGGGAAGGCGAGGGAGGGGGGAGGGAAAGGCGCATCAGAACCACCGGGAGCCGGGGAAAGGGGAGACGGAAAAAGACCGACCCCTCCCGAGAGGCAGAGCGGGCAGAGCGGGCATAGCGGGCAGAGCGGGCATAGCGGGCAGAGCGGGCAGAGCGGGAGACATGGAGGCACCGAGCAGGAGAGGCCCACGAAAGACGCACCTTCTGCATGGGAGACACACGGCAGCAGATGACGGTGCGGCACTGCAATGCCAAATCGAGGAAGCGCTGTCGATCGTGGCCAAGGGAGGACACATGGAGGGAGAGGGACCGAGGGAGAGAAAACAGCAAACAGAGCAAGAGACGGCCAGGAAGATGGACGGAAGCCAGGGAGCCAGGGGAGAAGGGGCGACGGGGGACACCGGGGGTCAGCCCACAGAAGGACGGAGCAAGAAGAGCAACAAGGGCGGAAGAGAGGGGGAGGGGGAAGCAGCACGCCGCCGCAGCGAGCGAGCAAGCGAGCAACGTCCACGTACATCGCGCAGGTCTTGCGCATCCTCCCGCATGATGTACAGCAGGGCCGACCCGTCGATGACCAGCGACCGGTTCGGGGTGTCGTAGCTGCCCTGGCCGCCGGCGGTGGCCGCGCGAGTGCGCACCCGCACCGGGGCCACCGTGCCACTGCCAGCACCGGCCCGACCGGGCCCGGAGCCCGGGCCGCTGCCACCGGCAGCCACATTCCCGGCAGTGCCGGAGACCGGGCTACCACCGGCCGAGGCCGACCCCGGCGCCGCCGGCACCGACGACCCCCCGGCCATCTGGCTGGGCGTGGTGTCCGACATGAAGACAGCCGTGGTGCGCGAGGGGAGCGAGGCGGCCGCGCGAGCCAGCAGCCGACGCTGCCGCGCCCGCCGGGGCTTGTGCTGCGCGAAGAAGTCCAGCAGCATCTGGACATTGGGATCGCGCGCCGAGGAGGCACCCGGGCCCGGGGCAACCGCACCGTCGGCATCCAGCGTGGTGCCGCTCTCCGAGGCATCCACCTCGGAGGCCTTATCCCCGCCGCCGCCGCCGCCGCCGCCGCCGCCACTACTACCATCACCACCACCACCGGGGGACGGCTCAGTGGGGCTGCTGTCGCCCGTGGCACTGGCCGACACTTGCGGGGCCACGGTCAAGGCCGGCGAGGGGGTGATGATGATCTCCGTCTGCGAGTTCAACAGACGGCAGGAGTGCGCAATGTTGATGGCGGTCTCCTGCTTGTCGCCGGTCAGCACCCACAGGCGGATGCCGGCGCGCAGCAGCAGCTCAATGGACTCCGGCACGCCGGCCTGCAGGCGATCCTCGATGGCCGTGGCCCCCAGCAAGATGAGCTCCCTCTCGATGGCATCGGACGCGCGCTCCAGCGCCTCGTCGCGATTGGCCAGATCATCGATGCCATCCAGGTAGTTGCTGCGCCAGTGCGCATACTCCCCCGGGGAGAGCTCGCGCCAGGCGATGCACAGCGTCCGCAGGCCCAACCGAGCGAAGGTATTCAGCGCTCGCCGGGTGGACGCCACGGCGCGCTGCGTGTGCAGCACATCCGACAGGCCGTAGAAGCCGGCCGGCCGGCCGGCGATCTCGGCCGCCGGTGTCCCGGAGGCCGTGTCCCAGCCGGTGACCTGGGCACCACCGCCGCCCGTGCCAGGGCCCGAGCCGGCCACGATGGAAGACCCACCCGCACCGGGGCCCGGCCCGGGGAAGGCCCCCTCGGGCCCGGCCACGAAGGGAGCCAACCGCGAGAGGATCGTATCGTCGGCCCCCTTGCAGAAGAGCACCCGCCGGGGCGCGCCGCAGGCATGTCGGCCGGCCTCCGGCGGGAGCTCAATCACCACGCTCATGCGCTTGCGTGCCGAGGAGAAGTCATTGATGTGCAGAACGTGATACTTGCGATCGACGGCCCCGAGCCCGCGGCCCTCCAACGGGTCGTAATCCGCCGGCGGGGTGGGCCCCGACCCGGCGCCCAGGGCATCGGCCCCGTCGGCCCCGGCGGCCTGCTGGCCCGCGGACCCGGTGACCGCCGCATGCAGCGCACGGAAGGCCCCCGCCAGCCGGGCCCCGATCGACCGCTTGGCCGGCCGGCTGATCGACGAGGCGTCGGTGCCGGCCAGCGAGGGAGTGCGCCCGATGCTGGTGCCATCGGCCTCCAGCTCGTCCTTGTCCCCGGGCGAGAGGAAGGACCCATCGGCCCCGAGGCCGTCGGCCTTGGCCTCGGCCTCGGCCAGGGCACGCGCGCGATCCGGCGGCAGGATGCCCCCCACCCGCACGAAGGCCACATCGATTTCCCGCTTGTGGAAGAAGTACCCACAGGACCGGGCCGCCCGGACCAGGGCATCCTCATCCGGCGAGGAGGCCCGGTAATTGATCATCCCCGGGGCCTGGAGCAAGCCATCCTCGGCCTCGGCCCCGGCCACCAGGGCCAGGCCCCCGTCGCCATCGGCCCCGCCGCCGGGACCCGCGCCGGTCAGGGACCCGGACCCGCGAGAAGCCCCCGAAGCCAAGGAAGCCACTGATCCGGCTGGACTGGCGCCCGAGGAGGCCGCCCCGGGGGCCGACAGGTCGCCCATGGGGATGGACACGCTGGCGCTGCTGCCCCCGGCCCCGGTGACCGGGGGCGGCGGCAGGGACAGGCCGCCAGGCCCATCCCCGGGGCTGGCCACCGACGGCCGGACCGGCGGGTCGGCCGGGCTCGGGGTCTTTTCCTGCTCGGCAGCCGACAGGGACACATCCTCCGGGATGACCGTCTGGCACACGGCAAGTGCCACCATGAAGGCATCGACCACCGACGGCCGGGCCACGCGCGAGGAGATCGACTCGGACCGCGGCCGGCCGGTGCCGGCCAAAACTTGCGACCCCATGCTCGAGGGGGGCACATACGGCGTGCCTTGGATGGCATCCAGGATGGAGCTCCGATCGAAGTAGGGAGCCTGCGTCCATGGGCAGGAGCGAATGGCCCAAGCCACCGGCCGGGTCAGCGAACAACCTCACGGAGGGGCCAAAGGGGCGGCAAGGGAAACCGGCCGGTGCCGGACGTACCCGCATGAAGCTCCCCTCGTCGGCGTACGGGCCGCCAAAGACCAGGCCGTCGATGACACAGCGCTGGAAGACCATCTTATTGCGCGTCAGGGTGCCGGTCTTGTCGGAGAAAATGTGCTCCACCTGCCCGAGCTGCTCATTGAGGTTGGTGGTGCTGGCCTTCGATGGAGGGTATGGCGGAGGCGGGGCCGGGGATCCATCGGCCGGGGGGGGCAGCGCCGGTGCCCGCAAGGCCGGGTCTTTGGCAATCAGGAATCCCTGAATGAAACGGGCAATTTCCAGCTGGAAGAACAGCCTGGGGGCGAGGGACATGTGTCAAGAGGTGGGCCGGCAGGGAGAGAAGGGAGAGGGAGGGAGGGGGAGGGAGCAGCGGACGAAGGAATAGGTAGAATCAAAAAGGAAGAAAGGGGAGAGAGAGAGAGAGAGAGAGAGAGAGAGAGAGAGAGAGACCGCCCCCGGGCAGGACACACGCACGTCAGGGGAATCATGTTTTGCAGAAGGAGAATCGCCCGCAGCGTGTAGACGATGGCCGTGTCATCGGTCCCGGGGTTGGCCGTACGCTGGCCAAGGTACCAGGGCCGGCCGCGGATGCGATCGGTCGAAGCACGCGTCACTGTCAGGATGATGGCCAGGATGACAATGCACAGGAACATCAACAAAACCATGTGGTTAAGGCGCCGCTGCAGGCTGGACTCCTTGATCGGGGCGGCGGCGCTGTTCTTGAAGAGCTTGGTCTCCTGGCCGGCATACACGACGATGCCCACGGCCCAGGCCGTGTTGCGGATGTGGCTCCCCCGTAGCACCACATTGTAGGGCTCGATGAGCTTGCGATTGTCGCCGCCGGCCGGGGCCAGCGGCGTGGTGGGCGGCAGGGCCGACGCCACCGGGGTCGGTGCGGCCGAAGCCACTGGCAGCGGCCCGCCGCCGGTCTCCGGCCCACGGCCACCAGTGGGCGAGGCGGGGATCTGAATGCGCAGGGCGCCCGGCCCGGCATGCGGGGCGTCCATGTCGGTGGCCGGGGCCCGCGGCGAGGCCACCGACCCGCCGGGCCCGGCGCTCGGGCCATCGAGCAGCAGCTGCGCCGGACCCGGGGCAAGGGGCGGGCTGGCCCCGGACACACCGGCCTCCACCGGCGGCGGGCCGGTCAGGAAGTCCAGATCGCTGCCAGCCCGGCCGGAGAGATCCACAGACCGGCCACGGCGGCTGGGCGATGCCACCGGCCGCTGGGCACGCAAGGACACCGAGCGCGTGGGCAGGCGCGGGCTCCGGCCCGGCGTCCCGGGCACATTGCTGCCCGGAGAGCCGGGCATGGTGGGAGACGCGCAGGCCGAGGCGCCATCGCCGGCCGCCGGCCCCGGGCCAAGGGGCGGGCTGGCGCCATGGTGCTCGTGGTGCTCGCGCGCCGGGGCATGGCCGCCACCGGCGCGCGGCTGCAGCGTCAGCTCTGCCAGCCCCGAGAAGGTGTACAGCCGGCTGTTGGGCTGCTCGCACTGGATGGATCCGGCCAGGCGGGAAAACTGGTCCAGGCGCTTCAGCCGGTGCGTGATGGGCAGGGCGCTGCGAATCTTGAGGTTGGTCTCGCCATCGATCGAGGCTGTCTCGACAAAGCAGACGCCCTGCGGCTCGGAGGTGGAGATCTGGCCACGGGCAGGAGCCCCGGCCGGGAGAGGGGGGCGGGGAGAGGCAGGCAACAGCCGGGTAAGTGAGGGAAGTGCCAGGAGGTAGAGTGCCCCATGGCAGGAGGAGCATGGTGACATGGGGAATAGAAGTCAAAGGGGGGGGGGGGATCGTACAAGCACAATGTCCGCGGGCACCGCGTCGTCCTTGGCCAGGCAAAGGGTGTCCCCCACGCAGATGGCTCCCGAGCGGACCGGCACAAATTGCCCCTGACGGAGAACCATGACGGGACGACGGTTGGTCTGGCGATCGGCCCAGTACTGTGTCGGCGCATGGGCGCATGGGCGCATGGGCGCATGGGCGCATGGGCGCATGAGAGAGAGAGAGAGAGAGAGGAAGGGAGGGGGCAGGGGGTCAGACAGCTGCAGGGGGGCCGCGAAACAAGCACCGGACACGGGGAGGGCGCGCGCGGGCGGGCACGCACGCGCAGGAAATCCTCGATGAGCTCCTTGAAGGCCGACAGGACAATGACAACGAGCAGCGGCGCCGCGGCCAGGGCCGGGCTGATGACACCGACATTCGGCACCAGCGTGAGGCAGGCACACACGAGGAAGAAGAAGTTGGACGCTCGGCCGAACTGCTCGAAGAGGAACTTCGGCAGGAAGGTGAGGATGGTGTACTTACTGGTGGACACGGCATTCTGCACGAAGTTGGAGTTCTGCGGGTGCGGCATCGCCAGCGAGGAGGGCTCGATCTGGTCCTCCGGCCGGGCCCAGCACCAGGACATGATGCTCATCCACCAGGACAAGGACAGCAGGCTGGCCAGGTGGAATGTGGCCTGCTGGTCGGCCGAGCCGTCGCCGATGGACCCGATGAAAATAACGCGCGGTGCTTGGGCCACCGTGTCGGTGGCGGCGCGCGAGGATGACCCGGCCCAGGGGACCAGCGACCGGGCACTGGGCGAGCAACCGACCGGCGACGAAGAGGGGAGTTAGATCGCTTGGAGGGGCCGGGTGCCGAAGACCAGCCGGCCGAGGCCGGCGGG